CCGCCCCCTCACTCTTAGCCGCACCTGCGGGGTGCTACATATCTGGCTTGGCTGGCTTGCTGCTCGCCATCGGCATGGGGCCGCCCCCAACGCGCCTTGACTTGAGCCTCCGTCGCCTGTTCCAGTAGGCGGCTCAAGGCGCCCCTGGTCCAAGGTGCCACCAGCTTTCCGCTCCGTTTTGCAGCCCCTGGGGCCTTCTGGGCCTCGAGGGAGGTGCTCTGGCGGCCGTCGGGCCTCCTCGAAGATCCTGGGGGCACCCCGGGCCAGGGGCCTTCCCAGCAGCACCCGCGCCAGGCTCCAGCCGCCCGCTCCCGACCTCTGCGGTGTGGGCCGTGCGAGGCATTTTCTGTCGGAGTGTTTGGAGGCAGTTCCTGGCCTCGTGGCTCTTCCCTCTCCTGCATGCCGGCCACTTAGCCATTCCGCCCCCCCCCCGAGTTCTTCACACATGCTGGTGCGGACCGCCTCCGCCTCGCCGTTGACGGAAAACGTTTGGCCTCTAAAGTCCCTTCGAGGGGGCCCCGCTCTGCCGGCGGTGCCTCGCAGAGCCCCCCTCTGCCCAAGAGCGCCCCAAGACGGCGCACGATGGCTTCAAGATGGCACCGGCAGCCCCCACGATGCCCAAAGCGAAAGAGTTTGGGGAGCTTGTCCCCGAAACGTTGCCGCCGAGACCCTGAACATGCCCCCAAGAGGCTCCCAAGACACCCCCAAGAGGCCCCAAGAGGCTCCAACAAGCCGCTCCAAGAGGCCTCCTAAGAGGCCCCCAAGACGCCCCATGAGGCCCCTTCAGAAGCCTGCGAAGCCTCAGCAAACCTCCTAAGGAGTGAACACCAAAGACCCCTGGCCTCAAAACAAGCCTGTCCCCCTACCATTCGCAGAGTGCCCTCAGCAACCCCCCGAGACACATCGACAGGCACCCAGGACACCCCGAGCATGAGTCAGTCGCCAGGCAACTCTCTTCAACCACCCGTGCGTCATACTTCTAGGGGAAGGCCGGTAATGCGCCGCCGGCGTCTCGACATGACGAACCGCTACTATGCTCCAGCCGATGCGCAGCAGCCCATAAGAAGATCAGGCGGGATGCAGGGCGGATTGTTTGCCTGGCTAGCCGCGGCGCTTGCCCCCCCCCTTTGCAGGCTGGCAGTGCCAGCATCGCCGCTGCGGCCGCGACCGCCATGGGGTGAGTTCTTGTGACCGCCCACGCGCGGGGCTCTAGCCTCTAGCCAGGGACAGAAATCGCTGGCGTGTGCGGGGTGCTCAGAGGTGGGCGGGCAGCAGCTAGGGTTGAAGAATCGTGGGGCTGTCGAGAATTGCAGGAAATTGACCCTCAAGGGGCCCCAAACGGCTCCTAAATTGGCACCTGAGACTCAAAAGGTGCACGTTTTTCCACCCCACGTTTATCACCCCCCCGTCAACGAGCACCTGACAGTGGTGGTGGTGGTGGTGGTGGTGGTGGTGGTGGTGGTGGTGGTGGTGGCGCTGGTGGTGGTGATGGTGGTGGTGGTCATCTGTTGGAGAAGAGACAGCGACACAAGCGTAAGATTTCGGAGCTCCGCGCGGATTTCCTGGATTGGCGCTGGCTCACCTTGGTGGCGCCGCCCCTGGCGCGCTCCGCGTGCCAGGGAGGGGGGCCAGCGCCGATCCAAGATATCCGCGCGGACTTTCGAAGTTGTCTGTTCATGCCGCCTCTCTGTTTCAAGATCAAGGAGCAAGTCCCAAGTAGGGCACTACTCAGGAGGGAAAGAAACACACAGACACAATTAATCGTCGATTCCCCGGAAAGCATGGTAAAATGTGGGAAGTGGGGGGGGGGGAAGACAAAAACCCAGAACATATAGGAACATATAAGGAATCCTGTTATTTGTAGGATATTTGTGTGTCTCAGGGCCCCTTCAACACCCTGCTTGCCTCAAGGGTGCTCTGGGTTTCTTGGGTGTCGGTGGTTTTGCCATGGAAAGCGCGACGTTCCCACACCAAGCGTCAATGGACGGCCTGGGGCCTCAGGGTTGGGTTATCTTGTGGAAGGTTTCTTGTGGTCGAGTTCCTACTGTAGCCAGACCGTCCGCCCCAGTGAGCACATCTGTGAGCTGCATGTGCGCATCCCGTCCGCGTGATAGCGCGTGCGTCCTCTTTCACTGCGTCCCTTCTTCTCGTCCCCACTCTTCCCCGCCCCATTCCACCCGACTTCACTTCTCCCCATTTCTCTGCACTCCTCCCCTCTTCCCCGTTCCACTCCTTTTCAATCCAATCCTCCCCATTTCCACACAGGCCACTCCAATCATCCTCACTCCTCCCCCCCCTCCTCGCCCCAGCTCACTCTTTTCCATTCCTCCCCATTCCATCCTTCCCCATTTCTCCGCATTCGTTTGCGCTCTTTTCGACTCCGTTGCGTTCCCCATTCCTCCCGTCGTTCCAATCCTCCACAATGAATTTTGTTTACATTCCATTCAACTCTACTCCTCTCTTCGCGCTTCTTCCCACTCAATCTTTCTATCCATCCCTTTTTCATGTCTCCATGCTCTTCTGCACCTCTCTTTATTCGTCCCCGTACTCCTTTTGAGCCAACTCCTCCCCTCGAGTATTCCAAGGGAAATCGCATCGAATGAACAAGTATGAAGCCAATGTTCACATGTTCTGCAGCTCCCACTTTCCCAAACCAACACCAAATCCAATCCGAGAAACATCTAAAGGCCAGCAACATGGTGTCTTGATACTTCGCTAGAAAGCCAGTTAGAGCCCCAAGGCTGATCAGCGATCTCCCTGACGAACCCGCAAGCCGAGACTTGCGTGTCGTGACAACGATATGACAAACTTGGACGGCGTTATCGGGACCACAGACACCTGCAACCCCCCTCCTCCCCAAGACAGCGTCTGAACAGCCCAAAAACCAATCCAAGGAAACTCACCCACATCCAATGACCAGCCCAAGACGGCCGCAAGGAAACCCGCCCTTCTCTGACAGCGAGTCGTACGCAGACCCCATCCTTCGCATCATCACAGCGCCATGGGCTGCGCTAGAACCTAAGCGCGCGCGAAGCGCGCGCGGGCAACCTACCCCACTGTTTACTTAATGTATACATTAATTACGGAGGGCAGATGCGCGGGTGGGAGGAGGGAGGAGGGGAAGAAGGAAGGTGAGGCAGGACGCGGGGCGTTGCCTGTGGAAAGAGAAGACACATCCAGCACATGATGGTTGGTGCCTTCGTCAAACCAAAAGACGACTGCCATGTCGCTTGCAGCACCCATTAGGGGTAGGTTCGTGTCGTGTCGACCGGTGGCGACCCCGCCAGCGGCGCTTAATGTTGAACGCTGCGGGCGACCCAGAATCGTTCGATGTGCAACGATTTGGACGTTTCGGAAACGGCCGATCGTTCAAGGGTGAACGATCCTCACGGTGTCGGAGGCCAACGCCGAAGCCGGCACGACACGAGCCTGACGCACAGGGCCAGGGGTCGCGGCCGCGTGCCGCTGCCCCCCCACCTTTGCTCCTCGAGGTGCCCAGGTCGGGCCGGCCCCGCCGCCGAGCTCCCGCAAAGCGAGGCTCGAGGCCCCGCGTCGGCCAGCCTCCATAGCCACGGCGGGAGCGGCGTGCGCCACGGTCCGCCACCGGCCGCGGAGGGTCGAGCGCCCTCGGGCGCAGCGTCGGGGGACGCAACGCCTCGGGGGCGGCGTGGGGGCCTCGGGCTGTCGGGCGCTGTCGTCGATGCTCGGCGGTTTGTTCCAGCTTCGGGATATGCATGCCAGCGGCTGCGCCTCGCCGAGAGCGTTCCGGGGGCGTCTGGATTCAGTATCGTTTCACCGACCCTCATCCCCATCCGCATCCCCTTCGAGACCCCCACCAAATTACCACCGCAGTCGGGGATACACCCCTAGAAACCCGAAGGGGACGGCCTATATCCCCATCTAGGGGGGTAAGTCAGCCAGAGGGGCCCAGGCCACGCCGCTGGGGATGGGGTTATGATAAAGGATGCTCATGGATCTTCCCGAGAGGCCGCCCGAGCCCCGGGGTGTGGCCCGAGGTTCCCTCGGGTCGGGGGCAGCTGCAGGGGGAGACGGGCTCCCGGTGGGGGGGGGCGGACGCATCGGCCTTTCATTCCCCATGCATCGCCGCGAGGAGGATGAGGAGATGGAGGAGGAGGAGGAAGAGAAGGAGGAGTAGGAGGAGGAGCAGGAGGAGGAGGAGGAGGCGGAGGAGGAGTTGGAGGATGAGCAGGAGGACCAGGAGGAGGAAGAGGAGTACAACACGGTCCCATCGCATGAGTGCCAATGAATGCCCTCCTCCGCCCAGGAACGCGCGGGCCCGCTGTCGGGGGCCTGTCGACCATCTGTCGGCGAGTTGTCGCCGATTCTGACTCGATGTTCCCCCCCTGTGAGCCAGTCCTCCCCCAGCGTGGCAACAGTCACGACGGAAGGCGCTTGCTAGGCTTCGGCCTCCTGGGGCCCTTGCCGACCAGGCCCCAGGGCCGTCAGAGGACGATCCAGGATAAAGAGCCCTGGTCACTGGGGGAGGTGTTTCTTAGAAGCGCCCCTGCTTCACAGAAGGCGCGGGCCCTGTCTATACATGTAAGGCCGGCGTCTTCCAAGAAGCAGCCTCCTAAGAAGCCCCCCCTCCCTCCACCCCCTTGTGCGCGCCGCCGGGAATGGGATGCGATAGCAGCGGCTTGCGCGCCTGGTGGTGTCCCCATAGCGCCCCCCTTGGCCGCGCACTAAAGGCCACTCTTGCCTAGGGTCGCTCTTGCGTGTATCAGGAGGGAAAGAATCACACAGACACACTTAATCGTCGACTCCCATGAAGAGATAGGAAAATATGGGAAGTGGGGGGGGGGAAGACGAACACCCAGAAGATATGTGAAAATATTGGGAATCCTATTATTTTTGTTTATTTATTTGCGTGTCCCAGGGCCTCTTTAGTGCAGCCGATCTGGGCATGATGGACCGCCGGAGCCTGGAGGAGGCCCGTGGCCCACGGACAGCGCGCGCGGGGGTGGCGGCCCCGCCGCTGCATGGCGGGCGCCACGTTCACCTACGTGCGGATCCCGGCGAGCGACGACGATCCCCTGGAGGTTCGGATGTCCCCCAAGCTGTCAGGTGTTGGCGAAGCCACGTGTCAAGCAGTGGCGAAGCGTCCTGGCTCGCCCATAGGCCTACCAAAGAATGTTCTAAGAAGCTCCCGTGGTTTGCACGAAGAAATGTTCTTAGAACATTTCTGGCTGGGGCGGTCTTGTTTTATCAACATCGGGTTTATGTTTTCAGAACATTGTATTCGTTATTAGAGCATGCTTGGGTTCTAAGAACATTTCGGGTATAGCCAGGACCCCAGGTAAGGGGACCCGGTTAGTGGTAGGGCCCTGGAGCCCCTGAAATGGCCAGAATCATTAAACCAGGTCTGCCGTAGTTTGTGTTTTTCGTGTGACGGCAGTTCCGGTTAGTGGAACGGGGCGGGGGGGCGTCCCTCAGTACACATCACTAAACCAGGTCCCATTAGTTCCAGTTCTGCCACGCTCGAGTCGTATTCTTTCCCATCGACGGGTGTATCTTACCCGCACTGGGGAGGGTGAGTGGCCTGTTCAGCTCAGTAAAGCTGAGATGACACGCTTCTCGTCTTGTTTTTTTCGACCACTACGTGGAAATGCTCGAACCTCGAACCACACCGACCAGCAAGGCGAAGGCGACCCGGGGTCGGCGGCGGGCCGTTCTTGATGTGGGTGATTCTCCAAATAATTCTCGACCTCTTGGGGGCCCCAGGATCCCAAAGTAGTCGTGGGGTGACGGGCCGCCGGGTGGGTGAGCTCTCCGGAGGCGCAGTATCATCGGACTGTGCCGGAGGCCACATGCGAACCCTACCCCTACCCCCAACGATTTCTGAGGGTGAGGGTGGGGTTCAATTCGTTTGGGTAGGGATAGGGTTCGCATGTGGCCCCCTACTGTGGGCCACCAGATGGCTTTGGGAGTCTTGGGGAACAGACACTGACAGAAATATAGCCACTCGGAGGCCCCCGCGCAGAGATCTTCGTTCGGCGCTGGACCCCCCCTCCCTGGCGCGCGGAGCGCACCAGGGGCGGCGGCGGAGGCGCCGCCAGGGCGGCCCATCGCAGATCCAGTAAATCCGCGCGGAGCTCCAAAAGTTTATGTCTGCCGTGTTTGCTCTTCTTTTTGGGAATCGCACAAGGAGCTCTTGGCGACGGCCGACATTTGCGGGGACACGCTGAAGGATCTCTTGAGGAAGGCGTTTGCTGGCGGCGAGCTTACGAACTTCGGCGAGCTCGAGGCGCAGTACGGCGCCCTCGCCTCGCAGCACAGGTTGGGCTTCGAGAGGGCGGCGCGGACGGGCAGCGTGGAGGTCTTGCCCATTCTGAGGCACAGAAGGGCTCGGTAGCAAATCATGGGAGCATTTTACAGTCAAAACTGATAGTAAGATGCGCGGTAAGGATGCAAGCCCCTTGTACGCCCATGCCGAGGCTCTTCGAGCGGGACTGGCCATCGAAAGTGGTAAGGATAGACCTAAGAGGCAAGGATGCAAGGGTGCGCTTGGGAAGGTCACCCGCCCCTATCATCGTTTTCGATGTTATCCCCTCGCAATTCCGTCTTTAGATTGCGTTCGCGTCGACTAGCTTCGATTAGAACCGGTTCGCAGGAGCCAGTAAGATCGAACAACAGCAAGTTGCATAACACACAAGTTTTTTCAGTTTCGCGTGGATTTCTTGGGATCGGCACTCGGACTCCCTGGTGGCGCCTCCGCCGCCGCCCTTGGCGCGTTCCGCGCGCCAGGGAGGGGGGTCCAGCGCCACTCCGCGCGGAGCTCCGAAAGTTAATGTTTACGTACGCAGTTTGTTGCTGCTTCAGGGCAGGGATCCGCTGACTGAGAACCGTAGAAGGTTAAGTGTTCTTTGCTGTCATCCGAGAGGCAAGAGGTCGTAATCATGCTACGTCCCAGAATGTCCCAAAGTTGCTCGACGGCCGCGAAGGGGCGCTAGATACCCTGGCACTATTGGAACGCATCCTGGGCCAACTGCATCATGCAACATTATGGTCCTTTGCTGAGGGACGCCTATCCCAGGGCGGCTGGAAACTTTGATGCGCCCATGGCGGCACGTGAGGGTGCAAACTTCCTGGCCGCCCTGGGACAGTCGTTCCCCGTGGCTGAACGTTTCACTACCCCCAACGGTTGCTCGTCGTCCGAGGGACGAGGTGAGGGCTCCCGGGGTTCCTGACGGCGGAGCGCGCATCGAGGGGGATGGGGCGTGCAGCCCGAGCAAGAGGACCAGCGCGGCGCAGCCTACTGCTGTCCGGGGGGCCGAACTGGCTACGGACACGAGGGTTGCAGAGTCCAGCGGCAGCTCATTTTCGATAGGGTTCGCTTTTGGCGTCGCCGCGGTCGTTGGCCATTTGAGACACGAGCTCGCCTGCTCGGTTTTGGACGACATTTGCAGTTGGGTATCGTACTCACGTCTCCCTACCCCTTTCGGGCGTCCAAGTGCCACGTCGCCCCCAGGGGCGCAACGGCAATCGCGCTGCGCGGCCTGGTCCAGAGAGCGGCCCCTGCTCCAATGTGGCGGGCGCAGAGGCGCGAAGATGGTCGCGCATCTTGTGGCGCGAATTGCGCAGTTGGGTGGCCTGGCTACTACCGGGCGGGGCTAGGCTACGCTTCACCGATCGGCCCGAAGGCCGTGCCAATCTAGAACTCGGGGGAACTGTTGGCCCGTGCCTCGGGCACCCAGCCAATTCGCGATCGTCTGACATCGAGTGCTGCTGAGGCAAGCAGGGGCGGAAACAGAAAAGGGCAAGGGAGGGGAGGAGGGGGGCAGAGGGGGGCGACCTAGAGGGAACTGTCAGATTTCATTCGTGGGGACTTTCACGAAGAACGCCTCGTAGACCAGCGATGGTTCAGTCGGTCCACCTCAGGCGTGGTCTGCCGTGTCTGCGCGCCCGGCACGGTCGCCAATTAGACAATAGTGAAGTGAACACCATTGTGAGAGCAGTCCGTCTTCGAGGTGTTGTAATATCGAATATCTCTGTTCGTTGAGCCGAAGACTCCAATCTTCAATGGGATGTTGTGCCAATGCCGCCTCCACCCACCGCTTCATGCGATGACCAGTAAGCTGCCATGCTTCGTCGTCAAAGCGAACCCATCCATGCGCCGCAACATTTCCCTCAGAGGTGTTGTGGCCAGACTAGCGAACGGACGGCCTCACCACGGAGTCAAACAGGCGCAACCTCAATGTGATCGGAACGCTGCGGTTCTGAAAGGTTGCGGCACATTGATGGTATTTCAGCCAAGTGGACTTCATCCGACGGTCCAGGTTGCACTTGCCTCGCATCGTCAAGTCGCCGCAGAATAGCCGGCCAAGGTGTTTCTGCGTGCCCGCACGCTTGACAACCTCGACCATCCCAGTTCCCGCATCGATAAATAGTGGGGACACGTATGCTGCCACATCGAAATCCGTCGTCAAGATCTTCGCCTTCCGCGCATCGACGGACAAACCAGCTCTGCTCAACTCCTCCACGATGCAATCGAGCATGCACATTTCGTCTTCCAGAGACTGAGCGAACAGGAGCAGGTCGCTTTTTGGACTGAGCATGATACCGTGATTGCCAAGCCGAGTCCCACCAGCCCTCTGGGCGTAGGTGGTCTAGAGCAGATCCTCTTCCACCCCTCCCTCTTCCCCCTTGGGGAGGGGTTTACCCCTCCCCCTACCCCCTCCCCTGGACCTGGACGGGGGGGGCCGCGGGTAGTTAGAGCGTCCCAGATGGCCCAAGACGGCTCCAAGAGCGCCTCAGAGAACCCAAGATGAGCTCCAAGATGGCTCAAGATAGCGCAAGATCGCTCGAGATGGCTCCTAAGATGGTTCCAAGAAGCCCAAAGACGGCCCCAAGATAACTCCAAGTGGCCAAACAGCTCCCCAAGGAGGCCCCGAAGAGGCCAAAATCGTCCCAAAACCTAAGGAAAATCAATGATTTTTGCTTTCTCGCCTTTTCGCTTCCGATGGCCATCCGAGGCCTGGAGATGGTTCCAAGATGGCCCAAGAGGGCCCCAAGAGAGCCCCAAAAGAGCCCCAAGACGGCCCCAAGAGCGCCCAAGAGCACTCCAAGAGCGTTCCAAGAGGGGTCCAAGAGGCGATTTTAGGGGCTTCCGAGGGGGGGCGCTAATTAAACCCCCCCTCTTGTTTGATCGATCTCCTCCAAGATGGCCCCAAGAAGCGCCCAGGAAGCCCCAAGAGGTCCCAAGATGGCCCCAAAATGGCCCCAAGAGGCCCCCAAGAGGCCCCCCGGAGGCCCCCAAGAGACCCCCAAGAGGCCCCAAGAGCCCCCCCAGATGCACCCAAGATGCTCCAAGAGGCCTCGGCGAGAATGCCTAATCATTGATTCTACACAGGTTTTAGCCACATGGAGGCCTCTTGGGGGGGGGCACGGATTAAGATGACTCCAAGAGCGTCTGGGAGAGCCCAAAATGACCTCCAAGATGGCTCAAGATATCCCAAGATGTCTCATAATGGCTTCCTCTGTGTGCTGCCCACTTCTCTGATCGAGGCAATTCCTCTGGCCATCGTTTCTGGATGGGCTGGTGGGGATTCGCGAAGCGACAACAATTTTCTACCTGCGCGTTACCGTTTCCAGCGCAGAGTTTCAGAGCAGGTGGTTGATGACGCCCTGTCTGACTCCGCGTTCTATGTCGAACTTTCAGTTATCCACGTAACCACGTTGATCCGTGTACAAGCATTGCAGCAACGTGCGGTATTCGGCGGGAGCGCTTTTTTCCTGCCATATCAGCGGGTAATTCAGAGTGCCCAATCCTGTCGAAGGCTTTAGTCAAATCGATGCCCACGACCCAGACTGGCGAATCAAATTGTTGTCGCTTCGCGAATCCCCACCAGCCCATCCAGAAACGATGGCCAGAGGAATTGCCTCGATCAGAGAAGTGGGCAGCACACAGAGGAAGCCATTATGAGACATCTTGGGATATCTTGAGCCATCTTGGAGGTCATTTTGGGCTCTCCCAGACGCTCTTGGAGTCATCTTAATCCGTGCCCCCCCCCAAGAGGCCTCCATGTGGCTAAAACCTGTGTAGAATCAATGATTAGGCATTCTCGCCGAGGCCTCTTGGAGCATCTTGGGTGCATCTGGGGGGGCTCTTGGGGCCTCTTGGGGGTCTCTTGGGGGCCTCCGGGGGGCCTCTTGGGGGCCTCTTGGGGCCATTTTGGGGCCATCTTGGGACCTCTTGGGGCTTCCTGGGCGCTTCTTGGGGCCATCTTGGAGGAGATCGATCAAACAAGAGGGGGGGTTTAATTAGCGCCCCCCCTCGGAAGCCCCTAAAATCGCCTCTTGGACCCCTCTTGGAACGCTCTTGGAGTGCTCTTGGGCGCTCTTGGGGCCGTCTTGGGGCTCTTTTGGGGCTCTCTTGGGGCCCTCTTGGGCCATCTTGGAACCATCTCCAGGCCTCGGATGGCCATCGGAAGCGAAAAGGCGAGAAAGCAAAAATCATTGATTTTCCTTAGGTTTTGGGACGATTTTGGCCTCTTCGGGGCCTCCTTGGGGAGCTGTTTGGCCACTTGGAGTTATCTTGGGGCCGTCTTTGGGCTTCTTGGAACCATCTTAGGAGCCATCTCGAGCGATCTTGCGCTATCTTGAGCCATCTTGGAGCTCATCTTGGGTTCTCTGAGGCGCTCTTGGAGCCGTCTTGGGCCATCTGGGACGCTCTAACTACCCGCGGCCCCCCCCGTCCAGGTCCAGGGGAGGGGGTAGGGGGAGGGGTAAACCCCTCCCCAAGGGGGAAGAGGGAGGGGTGGAAGAGGATCTGCTCTAGACCACCTACGCCCAGAGGGCTGGTGGGATTCCTTGGAGTTCTGAATGACTTTTTCAAGTACCAAGAGCGCATGATGGGTCCCAGTGGCGAATCGAAACCCTAATTGATCTGGCGGCTGTCAAGGCTCCAAGATTGTCTTGGGGCGGTCGTGCAATATTCTGGCCAGGACCTTGTATGCAATATCCAAGATAACAAGTGGCCTCCAGTTGTTGGGGTCCAGAGCGTCGCCCGCTTTGGGAATCATGACATGCAACAGCTCGCTCCAGTCGCTGGGGAAGGCAGCCGTGTGCACGACATGATTCAAGCACGCAACCAGGACGGATTGTGTAACTGCGCCAGCATGGCGAAGCATTTCCAGCATGGCACCACGCTTGTCAGCACGCCGTCTGCTGGCCATTGATTTGAGAGCTGCCCGCAGTTCTTTGAGCGCAATGCCTGGCATGCGCTGTAGCTGCGAAGAGTCTCGCGGGAACGGCGCGCTGGCCTCGGAAGAGTAGACGCCCATTGACATGGTTGCCAAAGCTTCCAGGTCAGGTCGCCAGGTAGAGCTGCCTTT